AGTGTTGTCAACTTCTTAAGATCTGCTGTACATATTACATGTACCATTCAGTGCAGAAGCATTTTGATTTTCATGTTGAAGTTAGGGCCTAAAGTATTAGTTTTGTCTTCTTAAATTACATGCTTATTTTTGGAAAGTTGATATTAAAATGTATTTGAGTTAACTTTAAAATGAGTACTAAACTCATGATTAAGCATATCACTGGTATCCGTGCAGTCAAATAAAAAGACTACCTCAGTATCCGAATGGGAACAAAACAGGGCGTGTGCCAGCGTGAACTCACCGCATACATGAAGGCACCCAAGTTTATACCCATTTTGGCACAGGGTACGCTGAGTACGTGTAATATATTTATGCTGGACTGTACAGTATGGTCTTCGCGTGCATGCTGGGGGCATGCAAGAACCCACTTGGAAAACTTCTTAGTACATGTATGCACGTACCAGTCTGTCTTTCTTTCGCCGGTGAGGGTGTACATGTACGTGTACTTCAACTCAGGGCAGATTGGGAGAAAGAAATCACTGCACAGCTTTAGAGGATACCATTTCCAGGCCGCGTTCACCGATTCCAGTGCAAGGGAAACTACGCCAAGCGTGTTGGCGCCGGTGCCCCTGTCTACCTTGCTGCAGTGATGGAGTACCGTACATGTACCTCACCGCTGAGATCTTGGAGCTAGCCAGAAATGCTGCCCACATGTACATGGCTGTTGCCTTCATTACCCATCCTTAATTGCTGGGAGTGTTTACGAGTAGGAGCTCTTGAACGAAAAATTCTCTTCTTTGCTTTGGTCTGTGATAAAAGTCTGCCTGTATTACACTTTGCCATGTTTGAGAATCAAAACCGAATGTTACCGGTACATTTCATTGCAGTGGAACTTCGGCAAATTCTAACCGGATCTTAAAGTCTGCCTATGTTGACATATATGTATTAATCCTGACCCCAAAGGGTAAAATCATATTGAAATCAGAGGATTGGGGGCCGTTATGGTTATTGGTCTCCACAAGGTTGTGTGCATCACGTGGAGTGCATGCGCACAGTTCCGATTCCTTTATGAACTCTAGGTAGTCATACGTACACGTATATACATGTATCAAACAGGTACATGTAAAATGTACACTGTATGAACTCACTACATGTACATGTACAATAGCATAATTAGTCACAGGTTCGTTAACCTGTATCTCAAAAACTAATTGACAAAGAATTTCAGCTCTGAGGGTTTCTCAAGGAATCCAATCAGCACAACGAATTTCATTTCATTCCATCACGGTCGGGTCCAAAAGAGTGCTGTACCGAATGACCCTACATGTAACACCCTAAAGTGAAATTGACAATGTAATTCTTCCCTGTCCCAGTTAGCCTAGTAAAACTTCCAGGCAAGGATGCAAACTTACATACAACCATGACAACTGAAGGTCAACACTTGACAATTTCGACAGTTTACCCGGCTGTCTGCATTGGATTTAATTTTTTGCACACTGAAAACAGTCTCTTTAAATTTTACCAAAAAAGTCCAATGCAAAAATGGCTAAAGCTGTCAGGTTGAAAGCCAATATACATGTATACTGGTATCTATGTACAGTGTATCGAACGGTAGATGTACATGTACATGTATTTGCTTGACCATTTTTGGAGGCGGGCGATAATGTGAACGTCCTGTACAATTGCAAATAATTTCAGGTTTTTAGTCCACCTTCATGTACAAAAAATTTCTTATTGCAACAATACCAAGTGCATGGATGAACCTGCAGGATTTATAATCCCTTCCCTTAACAGCTTACAGTGCAATGTACAATGGCGCGCCTGCCATATCAATCTGAAAATACACACAGGACAGACGTGCAATGAAAACAAGATTTCATCCTCTGAAAATGGTCAAGTTGACATGTACATGTATACATGTAGTTCAAGTAACTAGGACTCTACGAATTACCTTTTAAGAATTGGACATAGTACATGTGGGTGATACTAGAGTCCTATATGTAGAACCTTCCATAGGCATTGTGTACCATTAATTGATTCCACTCAAATAGCTCTGAATCCGTCCTCTCAATCAAAATGCTCAGATTTCAACCCTTCCAAAGCATACTAAGTAGTCCTGAAACTGTGTAATACACCCGCTGCTGGATTCAAAGGGAATTGAAGATTCTATTATAATGGTAAACTTTACTGACATTCACAAAGAAATGAGAAATTTCCCATTCAAACTGGTAACTTTCCTATCGCTGAGCTTGAAGCCGAAGTGGAGACCCCAAGAAAACACCTTCTATGACACCCCTTTTGTGTGTATGGATCACTCACCCCGTAAAACCCCCGATGTATTAATATGGGCGATTTCCAGTTTGTAGAAGTTCGTGAAATTATGGTTTTAATTTGGGCCATTTGTTAACTACAGTGATTAACTCCTGATTATTGACCAATGCCAACCATAGTCGGGATCTGTTTGGTCAGAGAACCAGACAGCGTTAGGGACGGTGATCCAAACTACTGTTTTATCAGCGACTTTGTATCATTTGTAATGAAGCCTTGTGTGTATGCGTGAACACAATGAATGTGTCGAAGACAGCTGCCATCAGGTATTTCCATGGGTGCACGTCATCATTGTGCGGGATAGGGATTGGACAAACGAATGATGTGCGTGGCACATGCCACACTTTGTCTGGCAATGAGTTCACACTCGATCCCAAACATTGTATATTTTGGTTCATCATTCATCAACGTTCTTTGGCAATGTCATGTTCTGGGAATCACCATCTCTACTGCAGTCTGGTTCCCAAACCAAACAGATCCCGACTGTTTGGCACTGGTCATCAACAACTGGGAGTTAATCGCTTCACTAGCCTGCAGTAAACAAATGGCCTAAATTGAAAGCAAAGTTTTACAGACTTCTACAAACTGGAAATCGCCCACATTATTACATGTAGGCCTACATGTATTAATTCGGTGGTTTGATGGGGTGAGTGATCCCCACACGCAAAAGGGGTTTCACAGAAGGTATTTTCGTGGAGTCTCCTATTTTTGGATTGACCGCTGTGGGGCCACGGTCAACAAGGATACATGTACGGACAGAGTCCAGAAGACTGGCCCCCAGTCAGGGGCTACTGTCGACATGTCCAAATGTTACAAGAAGCGATTCGTAGAGTCCTAGTTATAGTCTAATGTCCTGGGCCCGTCATGTCCTGTAATTAGCCAGTGACATGACAGTAGGGGCCTAGGCTCACGTGATGATATGTGTAGTCCATGGATACTGCCTGGGCTACCCGACTAACGTTACTGCTAGCCCCACTAGTGTGGCACAGACTCTCACTCCCGCTCAATCCTTCGCCACACATCCATATACGCAATTTTGTGTCGGCGTACTGAAAATTTTCGGTGCACCCACTTATCATCATGGGAGCAATTTCTTTTGCACACCGACATGATCCTTGACCTTTCCGCTTTCTAAAAACCATTTATTGAATGATTTCACTCACGTTATTCAGGTATTTTCTAGTCTTTTTGCCTTTATCTATTCAGTCTAACGGGCTCGCTCTCACAGTCGCCATCTTTAAAATAAGGTCGTTGAACATTATGTCACTTGACCCCTAATCTTCTCGACGGCTGTTCCATGTCAAGACATACGGTATCTAATACACAGACTGAGGGATAAGATACTACATGTACCAATGGGCTCTTCCAAAACTTGGGCATCAGTTTAGATATGTCTTGAGATGAAACAGCCGTCGAGACGATGAGGGGTCAAGTGACGCAGTGTTCAACGTAATGTTCAATGACCATATTTCAAAGATGGTGACTGCGAGAGCGAGCCCATGAGATTGAATGGGACGATGAGGGGTCAAGTGACGTAATGCTCAACGACCTTATTTTAAAGATGGCGACTGTGTGAGTGAGCCCGTTAGATTGAATGGATAAAGGAAAAAAGACTGGAAAATACTAGCCCCACTAGTGTGGCACAGACTCTCACTCCCGATCCATCCTTAGCCACACATCCGTATGCGCAATTTCGTGTCGGCGAAATGAACATTTTTGGAGCACCAACTCATCGTCTCAACGGCTGTTCCACGTCAAGACATGTAATAAACGGACTGAGCGATAAGATACTACATGTACCAATGGACTCTTCCAAAACTTTCGCAGCAGTTTAGATTCCTTGACATGGAACAGCCGTTGAGAGGATGAGGGGTCAAGTGACNCGCCGGCACGAAATTGCGCATACGGATGTGTGGCTAAGGATGGATCGAGAATGAGAGTCCGTGCCACACTAGGGGCTACCGTACTGCCTGGTCAGCCGGCCCAAGTCCAGTGAAGTCCCGTTTCTTCAAACGCAATTTCTTACTTACCAAGACCACTGGATGTCGAAGAGTCCCCTCCACTAGCAACAGAACCTTCTAAATCCTCAGAACTCATACTGAGAAATATCGATGACTCCTAGTATCACAAATTATGGACTATTATTTCAAGCCTGAATTTGACAAGGTAAATACGGCAGCCATGTTTTCGTGACCGAATTTCGGACTGACTTGTCTTGATTCATTGAGGGCGCTCTTTATAATGAATTTTGTCGTTTTATCGTCTGCTCCGACGTGCGAGAAGTGCGATATTTATGATTTACATTGCCCCTGAGAACTTGATGTAGCTTTCTGTAGTGGAGCAAGACCAGATGCCTGCTGCAACCAAAAGAACTAATCCAATGTATGCTTATTTTTTTAAATATACTTTGTGCAGGGGGAAATTGTACCACCACATGCAGGGGTACGCCCCCTTTTTCACCAAATTAATAAATAAATGAAAAAGAAGAAAAAGAGGGAGGAAGAAGAAAAATAGAGGTGTCATACTGCCTCAACTTGCACCACAGAGTGCCTTAAATCCTAGACAAAATTGTTGGGACACTTGGCAATAGCGAGACCCTCTCCAGCCCCCTCCCCCAGCTTCCGGTCAATGTCGTCATGTCCAGCCAGAGCGCAGACCGCGCACACAAACCCAACATTGAAGAGGGGGTCGATCTAGGGGTTGGAGGCCCAATGAGATTTGTCAAGGATTGTAGAATCCAAAAAGGCTCCAGACCCCAAGCCGTACAAGCATTTTACCCTTACTGCTTTAGTTTACACCCCCCCTTGGGAAAATCCAGTACCACCTCCTCCTTTTGGAAAATCCCAGGTCCGTCTCTGACTTGCTGCCAAGGTTTTCCACCACAAAAATTGAACAAAAACCTTTGTGAAAGTTATGAAATGGGCACAGAGACAAGCACATTTTAGTTTTTCATTTTTTTAATGTGTAATGCATTCAAACTTGCGGTAAAACTGTTTGTCTTCCCAATGACCTTTGTATGCCCCTTCCTCCTTTCCAAATAAATTTTGATACACAGCTGTTTCACTAATTAGTTTCCAATTTTTTAGTCCTCTGTTGACTCGACAATGCACAAAGTACACTGAAAACACCGAAAGGCAAAGGTAAACACTCATTCCAGACATAAGGTATGTATAGATGACAATTGATTTCAAGAGATCATTTTTGAATCATAATTCATGAATTTGCAGCTTCTGATTAAACATCTGTTGTGGTATTTGCAACTCTTTATTTTTATAAATTTGCCAAATTTTCCATCAACTTGAGCAGTGTATGCACGGTTAGTGCACTTGGTGTATGTATTAATTTCCTGTTTCAGAGATAATACATCGACAACATTCATTATAACTGTATCTTTTGAGCGTGATTACAATTTCCAAACCACACGTTCTCCAAGCCATTATAATTCGGTGTAAAGGCAGCCTAACTTTACATTTAATTTGCCAAAAATTGTTTGGGTTTGTTAATCCTAGAAATATAATATAAATTGGTGAGACTCGTGGGAAGTGTCAGTAGGCAGGTTACAGGTGTACTAAATGACCAATTGATTAGCTCATTCCCACCTCGCAAGATTGTTGCAAGCATTCTGGAAGAATCCCTCAACATTTGAGAATACTGCCACAATGAATCTGTATCAGAGTCATTATGCATATCATCATTTTAAAATTCAATAAAAATGTCATTGAAAGATGGATCCTTAGTCACATTACGGGGAATACGGCTGGATATAAATCCACCACACAAAGGTAGTATTTTTTTTTAGAAAAAAAACGATAACAGATTTGCCATTTAACCTGTAAAATGTTAGGTTTACAATAATTCGAGTAATACTGAAATTAGTAAAAGGCATATCCGGCTGACACCTTGTGAAAAAAATCTGAAAACATGCAAACAAAAACCGAGTTTCATGAAGGTAGGAACATAACCTTTTCTCCCCTCCCCTGGATTTATCGTCTGAATTTCAGAACACACTCCACACATCCATTATCTGTAAAAGACGTTTGTAAGAAAATGATAAAATGTGTCGATTGTGCCTACATTCGTACACATGTGAGACCTGGAAGTATCCTACATGTAAATGAAATTATTTAACTGAAATCCAAGACTTGATATTCCGGATCTCAACACCCATACATGTAAAGCCAACACCTGAAGCTTGTTAGACATTTTTCGTTCACTATCATAAGCCTAGCTAAGTTGGAGTTGTAAAACTTGTACAGAAGAGTTCGGTTACCATTATCAGAGCCTCGGGTCTCGTACTGAAAAATACTAGACACTATCTAGCAATTACAAATAATGCATCATTATTAGGCAGCCATGCATGCGTGAGTTATATTCAAAATGAATTTCGTTTTATATCGAGCGACCGAGGGCGCACTTCATAGTTGACAGTTTCCTACAAAACGGTGAGTTCTTTCAAGTCCTTAAAATGTCGATTTCTAAAACTGGAATGGAACAATTTCATGAACTGAAACACGAGTTTTACTCCCAAACGGAATGATCCTTAAAGTAACGGCAATGGAGTAATAATGTATTTTTTCAGAGCAACAATTTACAAATGTACTTATTGAAATGAAGTTTATTAACCCCAGAGGTAAACCCACTTTCCTACTAGAAACCACTCCCCAGCCCCCTCCCCGAAAAAATATACCAGGCAAGATATGGGACGGAGGGGTACCCCCTCATGTCCAAACCCTATAGACACTCTAGACTACTGTTATCCAACACGTCCATCTGGGATTCCTGAGATTCAGGTCAAACAATGACCAACACAAAGGGGGGTTCTCTTCGTCTTATATCTTGCTTCAAATGTAAAAAAAGGTTGAAGAAATGCGTCTGCTCTTAGAGAGTTTGATGATGTAACAGCCTGTGACGTTGTCGTCAACTTTCGTTGAGGACAAGCTGCAACCACACCAACCAACAACTACAAAACCAAGGTATGTAAAGGAGGAGAAATGCAACACCAACTACTGCAGAAGTTTTCTGGGGAACATAGGCTTTCCAACATAAGCTATAGAAATTAAAAAAGATCCTTGATGGAATTGTACACAGACACAGACATTTCCGTTAAGGAGGAACGACGAAGAAGTGGAGATTTCTTTGATCGAGGAAACTCCCCGACTTAAACCACGTCCCTTCCTCCACTGTTGTCCATATTGTTTATGATAAGAAAAAATGTCTTTACTACTGCTTAGAGCTGTGAGATGAATTCCAACATTCCTTTAGCGTTGGCGAGCTATGTGCATATATATGTACATAATAGCTTGACTCCTGGCGTAAGCCTTGAGAAAAAGTTGAGTACTTCTTCGGCTGATGCACAACTGCACCCTCATTTCCTCGCAAGTCCAAATAGATTTATGTTTATATAAGCTGCAAAAATATGATAACTTCAACTAATCAAATGCTATCACAACATGACCGTACGAAGCTGGAAACAATTTATACCACCACCAAGCAAGTTTGGCAAGCTGCTGATTTGAGAACCACAATTCTGTCTTTTCAGGTGGAGACCACGTTCAAAACCTTAGAACTACTCGCTGACACCTCGAAATCCCTCAGTCACCGTAGGAGATTTTTTCTTTGGAAAATGCATGCATTTGGAATATCATCTGGGGAGTATCGTACGTAAGGTTCTGAACGATTAATCTGCTCTGTAAAATTATACATGAACTGTCATCGCTTGAGTTATTTTAAAAATTGTCCAATGACAAATGAATAGATAAAACTGAGGGTTAAACTGAAATGGCTAAATGCAAATTTTAAAAAAAGCATAAGGACAAATAAAAAAAACTTATATTTACAAGAAATAAGATCTAAACACGTAAAATGAAGAAAACTGATGAAATAAATATAACATGGAAGGAGTATATATAACAAGTGAAGAGACAAAACGTAATTAAAATGAAAGGAATGTTTCACTTTAATTGAAATCACAACAGAAAATATGAGCACGCCAAATCTAGAAATTCAGAGAGAACATCAACCAGTAGAACGTCTAAAACGGTGTAGGCCTACTAAACTATTACGAGCGTTTTTCTCTGTGTTTAACGTTGTAACAATTCGATGTCACTGCTGCTTTTCTAATATCACTACTGTTTTTCTGTGTCTATGAAGTCATTTTGATCCGTAAATATTTAAGAATTTACATAAAAGTGTACATTCTTTTAAAGAATGTACTGTAGCTTGTCCTACAGATTGGGCTCTGACGTTAATATAGATACGCACACAGCTACAGATCGCTGTTCTGGTCAAGAAATCTCTGTTTTATTTCTCTTACGTCAGCAACACTGTGTTCTATCCCAAGCTCTAGACATGACGCGCCTAGCATACCCGCGGGGGCAGCCAGCCAACTCCATGCAGGTCTGAGCTGGCGCCCCCACCGGCCGGACCAGCCGGCGCTACAGTACATTCACAAGAGTGTTTGTTTTACCTTTCGTGTATAAGTATTCCAACTGAACGTTAAACTGTATGCAACCCCAACCACCCTTTGAACATCCCTATCCCTTAAAGCTCAAACCCCAAATTGCTTCAGTAAGTTTCAACTTTTTGATAACTCTTTTGATTCTTGACAAACACAAAGATACTGAAAATACTAGAGGCATGAATTCAAACAATTCAATTTCAAGTGCTTGGTTAATGCCGATAAATCTTCATTAGTGGCATCTATCTAAACACCTGTTGCTGATATTGCAACCATTTGTAATTTGATATAGGCTCTACTTTATGAATCATATAAAGATGAATTCGAACCATCTTTTTCACATGCATGTAACAAAACACTTATTAGTTTTCTCCAATTTTCTGCTGAAATATTTAAATCTGTGACTTATATTCACCAATTAGGTGTACAACCCTAATTTCTGTTGACTGGCTTACTGAGTGCCATTTTTTTCTATTCAGCCCGAAGCCCCTGCAAAGGGTGCTTAAGGTTTGTATTTAATATCATCACGTTATTGTTGTAATAATTAACTCGACTGTCAACTGACACGTCTTCGTTTCTCCAACGATTCAAACATAATAATAAAGTCAGTTTCTTGAGCTAAATTGATAAAGACATTCATCAGCCGACACTGGCAATTTTTTACTTTACATAGATCAGATAAAGTCAAAAAAGTAATAAATTTCAGTGGAAGTCAATGATCTGTCTATTAGCTAAGGATC